CCTAGAAGAATCATCTGGCTTCAGATTGGCTCAGCTCTGGCCATTGCAGCCATTTGGTATATGAACCAACAGAAGAAAGATCTTTAAATAAAGAAAAAAAAATCCAATTTATTTGAAAGGCAGATAGAGCTTTTCCATCCACTGGTGCACTACCCAAATGCTGAAGCAGCTGGACCTGTGTCAAGCCAAAACCAGAAATCAACAACTCCGTCCGGGTCTCGATGGCAGGGACCCAACGATTTGAGCTATCATCTACTGCCTTCCAGGGTACGCATCAGAAAGAGGCAGGGACAGGAGGGAAGCTGGGACTGGGACACGAACCCAGACACTCCAGTGCGGGACACAGATGTCTCAGCCGCTGTCCTTCCCCCTGACTCCCAGACTCCTGTAATGTCCACCTCTGGGGCCTTCCCAAGATGGCCCTTCTCTGCAGCTTGCTCTAGGACAGAGCCGTGATTCCTGGCCTTGACCGTGTGTTTCATTCTGACTCAGGTCCTCTCCTTGGGTTTTCTTTCTGATGTGTTCTCTTCAACTCTGTTCACTTAGCTTCTGCAGCAGATGCCACATGTCAGAGCAGGCCTCTCACACCTTACAGAACTGACCAATCAGATGGTTCCATCCCATCCCCACACCCCACCTCCATTGCTCAACAGCGACTCTGTTGTAGTCCTCAGAAAGGCCTCCAAGTGCTTAGGAAAATGGCACCTTGTGAGAGGTAGCAATGTTGGCCCAGGCCTGTGGCTTCTCCAGTGGAAACTCTCGCGAAGCATGGTGATTCCCATAGAGATCTGAGAGGGCTTCTGCCCAAATCCTCTTCCCAAACAGGAAGGGATGGCAGGGTTGCGGAGGAAGACGCCAGTAGCTGCTAGCAGACACGTGATGAGGGTGGGCTTCCCTGTAACTGTTAAAGATTGGTCTGGTTGGTCCTGGGCTTCTGGGGTAGGGTGCTCTCTCTGCAGGCCCCTAACTCTGACCTCTCGCCTCACCTCTATATTATGCTCATCCCTCCTCTCCTCACCTGCTCATCCCTCCTGCCCTAACCTGCTCACCTCCTCTCACCTGCTCATCTCCCCTCACCTGCTCACCTCCCCTCACCTGCTCACCTCCCCTCACCTGCTCATCCTTCCTCCTCTCACCCGGGCATCCCACCTCCTCTCACCTGCTCAGCCCCCATCAGCTCACCTGCTTGCCACCCCTACTTTCTCACCCCAACACTCCTCACCTGTTGGCCAAATGCGCCTTCTCCTGCCTTCCCACTGCTGGGTGACCGTGGCAGCCACTAAAGGCCCTCTGAGCCCTGCACTGCTGCAGTCTCTGGTTGGGGCTGGGGGTGGAGATATCTGTGCGCCTGGCTTCCTGGGGTCTCGGGGGGCTGAGGAGCCTTTTGCTTCAGCCTCTGGTGTCCCAGCCGCCAGCTGCATCGACCACACACACAGAAGCAGCACTGGGAAGGAGAAACGCCGCCGTGCAGGAGGGCCGAGGGCATGAGGAGCAGCGTCAGGAGTACAGTGAGCAGACAGTGGGGCCAGAGCAGGGGGAATGGTCCCTGGATCCCTGTGTGGCTCCCGCTTCTGGCTTGGCGATGTCTGGTAGCCAGGATCAGTCATGGAGGAGTAGCAGTGTTGATCTGAAAGAATGCAACGCCATGGTACTTCCTCCCACTCCCATTTGTCTGTTCCACATCTGGGTTGGGCCTGGGAAGCCACGTCCTCCTTCACACCTGGCTCAGGGCTGAGGCACCTGTTCTAAGCCTCACCCCTCACATTTGAGAACAGGGCAATCTCATGGGATTGCAGGGGGCCAGGATGATGGGCTCCTCTGCCGTGCCTCCACCATGAGTGCCCTGAATGCAGTGACTCTGAAATGCAAGCCAGTGCTAGCACTGCTACCCATCACTAAATGGAGAGAGCTAGGGCCTCCGAGGGGCACCGGGCCTGCCTTATGTTCCATGGCAGTGGCTGCTGGATCTACTCAGCTGTGACATCTTTGCTTTCTGCAGTCTGCACGTGACAGTGTGTGTGTGTGTGCACAGTACACAGATCTGTGTGTACCTGCAGTCACACATGGACACGTGCATATGGTGCACATGGGAACACGTGTACCTATATTATTATACATGTTCACATGTGCACCAGGCATGCACATGTATGCAGAAACAGGATGCGGATTGGACCACAGTGAAGGACGGCTAATGGGGAGTAGGGGAGGCCCCACCAGTAGTACCCCATGGCACAGTCGTCAGAGGTGCTGCCATCCTGCTGGGTGGTGTGGGGGTGAAGCCCTGAACGGCTCCAAGCAGCTGGGTTTCCAGCCTCCACACTAGCCAAGTGGGGTCTTCAGTTAGTGTCTCCTCCGTCCACTGTGCCAGCTTGTAGCTTTGTGGTCCATCTTAGCAAAACATGACTGTCTGGAGTGGCTCGGGCATGCCTACTCCGCCTGGCCTCCTGTCAGTGGGGCTGCTTCTGGGTCTTTTCGTGGTGGCTCTCGGTTCTTGGTGCCTCAAGCTGGGGCTGGGACTGGGGCCTGCTCAGGTTTTTCTGCTGGTTAGTTGGCCCTCAGCTGGCCTCATTTGCATAACGACAGGCGGAAGTATGTGCGAACTGAGTGGGGTGAGATAAGAGAAGAGCCTCTGCTTTTTGTCTAGCTGGCCTGCAAAGTGTGTGTGTGTGTGTGTGTGTGTGTGTGTGGCGGGGCAGGGGGTGGGGAGAAGGACTGGGTGGCACTAGAAGAGGTGACATGGGGAGACTGGAAGCCACAGGAAGAGGTGAGGTGGGAGGACTGGGAGCCACTAGGAGTGGTGAGGTGGGGGGATTGGGAGCCACCAACAAGGTTGAGGTGGGGGTAGAGCTCTGGGTATCCCAGGGGGCACAGGCCCGGACGTTGACCCTGGCCCTCTCAGACACAAGGCAGCAGTGGCCTGGATTCTGCTCAGGTTGGGGCTGAAAGGAGGAACCAGCAGAGACAGGAGGGAGAGCGCAAGAACACGGCTGCAGAGTGAGGTGAAATGAAACCCTGTCCAGAATGTTCTTTCCATTGGTTCCAAAGCCATGACTTCAAAGATTGTAAAATTAGCTGCCTAAAATTGTACAACCTCTACATAGAAAAAAAAAAAGTCAATAACTCCAAAATACCTCATAACATCTGTCTGGGTTTTCTGAATCAACCTAAAACGATACCAAAAACAGCTAGCCAACAACGGGAAAAGGAATTCTCAGAAAAAGCGGAGTGCAGGTTTTTCATCAAAGGCCGAGGGAAGCCAGCTACCGTGTTCTCTCACCTCTCAGATTTGCACGATGAGAATGTCTGATAGCAGCCAGTTGGCAGGGTGTGGGGGTAGACACTTGACATCCGGTGGTATGAGAATGCAATGATACAATCTCACAGGAAGGTCAAGCATTGGCGGTGTGAGACCACATGGGATAACATGGGAGGTGCCCATGTCTCATACCACCTGGATGCTTGAGTGATTTGCCAGCTACCACTAGGAAATGCCAGCGTGTGGGGTGGCCAGCCCGCACCATGTCCTTTGCTGGCAGCTCCTGATGTGTGGGCTTATGGGATCCACACAGCCCCAGGTAGATTCTGCGCTGGTGCTCCTGCATCTGCCTGATGAGGAAACAGACATGACAGTGCATTCACGAACAAGGTGCGGGGATGGAGATGTTCCCTGTAGCATTGTTTATCACAGCACACAGCCAATGGGCCCAATTCCCCATTCGTGAGCCTGGGAAAGCGGCAGATGATGGCCCAAGCGCTTGGGCCCCTGCCACCCACGCGGGAGACCTGGATGCAGTTCCTGTTTCCTGGTTTTGGCCTGGCCCGGCCTTAGCTCTTGGTGCCATTTGGAGAGTAAACCTGCAGAGGACACTTCTCTCCGGTCTCTGTGTCACTTGCCTTTCAAATACAGAAGTAAATCTCTAAAAATAACCTCTGTGAAAAACCTCAGAGCTGCGTCAAATTCACAGTGGGCCATCCACGTGGTGGAACAAGATGAGAACGGTCTTGAGCCACCGCTCTCAGTTGTCATGGGAGATGTCTAAGATTATTTTTAAGCAGAAACAGCAAATTTCAGAACCACGTATACATTATAACATTGTAGGCCTCTACAAAGATGTGCAGAGAGCAGCCTGTGGGTACGGCTGGAGAGCTGGAACATTCTACAAACAGGAGTAGCACCACTAAAAAATGGGGTTCACAGGGTTTGCGGAGGAAGATATCCCATTTTATACCTCTGTGTGTTTCTGGTTGTTTTTGGCATGTACGTGTCTTTACAAGCCTGATTCCCTGTGGCGTACGCAAGTGCTTTGTGGAGTGCCTGGCACGTGGGAGGGTTGAGTAAGCGAAATCTGAGTGGGAGAGCTTTGGTGGCAGAGCTGGCCCCTGCCTGGGGGTTGAGCACTGGCAGGCAAGTCTTCAAGGTTCTTGGGAACCCCAAGTGGAGGCGGCAAGTGGACGGTCCACCCTCTTTCCAGGCAGAGCAGGTGCCCAAGCTTCCAAAAGCCGCTGCACTCAGACCTGGGGTACTCCTGCTATTCACTGCTACGGGCTTTTAGCGTGTCCTTTTCCCAGGACGCTCATGTGGGACCCCTTCCCCCTCCTCTCGGGTTTGAGGAAGGTGTAGATGCTCCCTTCTTCTCTGCCTCCCTCCACCCACCCACACTCTCACCAAGGGAGATCCCTGAACCCCCAAGAAGGATGTGCCTCACACCTCCCTGGCCTTGAGCCTTTTCCAAACACCTGCTCTGACTCTATTCCCCAGACCAGCACGGACACCAGGCAGCTGAGGAAGCTCCTTGGGAGGGTGGACCCGTTTGTCTCAAGACCCCGTAGCTGTGGAGTGGGAGTGGGCACACCCACAGTGCTGAGGTAATGGGCTGAGCCACCCACATCTCCATGCAGAGCTCACCTGCAGCTCAGAAAACTGACTGTGCTGCAGGTGCAGGGCCAAGAGCACCAAGTCCCATCCTCTCGGGTGTGCTGACATCTTTGATCTCTTTCAGGTATCGGAATTGTGTCTACACCTACAGAATCCTGCCCAATGAGGATGACAAATTCACTGTTCAGGTGAGTCCTTTGAGAACCCCCAAACCTGACCCAGAATTGAGCCAAGTCCAATAGAAAAAAGGGTGAACAAGAGGCAGACGACAGACAGTCCCGTGGCTAAGTAACCAGAGCCCTGTGGGGGCAGCTTAAGAGGTGAACTGTGATCCCCAAAATGCCCCTGATGTATGGCGTGAAGGAGCAAGCTCACCAGAGCTTCTGCGTCCGTGACAGTGATGGTGAGTGACGCTGGCAGCCAGGGCTTGGTTCCCTCCTCTCCAGAGTGCCCTCAGACAGGTGAGAACTGGTACTCCTGGGGTCCTGGGGGAGGGGTGGAGAAGGAAGAGCAGTGGGCAGAGCGGACCACGTCCTCCATGGGATTAGAAGCTAGGAAATACCCGGTAGATCGCTTTCGTCTGCAGAGCCGGTTTCGCACAACACTGATTTCCCATGTCGAGGCTGAATGAATGTAAAACTCGCAGGTGAATTTGCAAACCAAGCATCAGCTGCTATCCATCCAAGCCACCCCTGCTTCCCATGCACATCGCATGTGACAGATACCTTGGGCTTTGCATAACTTCAGGTGTGATGTTTGAGTGATGTGGCTGTTTGAAGCCAGCTGTCTTCACAGAAGTTGTGGGGGTGGGGGATGGGAAGGAAAGAGGAGGAGGTCTCGTGTCCTTGGTGGGGCAGGGATATGTGTGTGATGCTCAGTCCTCAGGGACCACTGTGGGTGGCTTGGAAACAAGCAGATGGACAAGGGTTTGGTCACTGTGCAGCGCAGGGACAGCAGGAGGTCCATGTGTCTTTTGTTAAAAAGAAACTATAGTGGGAGAGGAGATGAGGGCACCACAGCTGGGCGTCTCGACTTTGGAGGGAGTAATTGGTTTTATGCAGATGTGGGGGCCACAGGGAGACCCTGGGCACTTCAACCAGCCTCCTGATTCAGAAAGTGAAACCCACCATGGGCCATGGGGTTGTCTTCTTGGCAGCCTATGTCTGCTCCCTGCAGCATTTCCCTGGAAAATGCAAGTTTGGGCTGGAGCTGAATTGCTCCATTGTATAGAGATAAGGCTGGATCTTGCTTTTGGCTTTTCCAGACTGACCTTGGGTACATTCACACCCGTATCTAAAATGTGTAAAGTGTGTCCCCTGGAGGTCTTGGCCTTTCCAGGAGCAGATGTTTGCATGCACCGGATGAGATCATTTTTTTTTAAACTTGGTGGTTATCTGACCTCTCTGCACCGTCAGCTAGGGATGTGGCCTTGAGACGGACGTGGCCTGCAGGCTGGGAGGTCTTCCTGGGGCAGGCGAGGGGCTGATGGCCTGTCTAGGACTGCATGAGTTCCCCAGGTCGGGGGCACCCTTGGTTTACTGCTCACAGTCTCAAGTTTAGCGTTGGTCAGCAGCCTCGGTCTCCTGGCCCCTGTGGCCTGTTGCAGTCTTTCCAAGTGAAGACAAGTTTCAGTACACCTGGAAGAGACACAGCTGTGTGGTCTCCTGAGGTGTCGTCTGCCCACGGCCTGGAACCTGGAGATTGTGCCGTTGACCATCATACTCTCCTGTGGCCCTAATGACCACCTGTCCTGCGCTGGCCTCATCAGGATTGGGGGTGTGCAGGGAATAGGGGTTGGCTGGGGCTGACTCAGGTCAGGGGCAGCAGACCTGGAGCAGGGACTGCCTAAGAGCCCCCAGGCTTAGCCCAGAAAGATTTGGGGTCCCCTTGGCTGCCACCAACCTGACTCAGCTTTTTGTGAGTTTGTCCTTCCCCTCTAACTGGCTGCCTTCTCAGTTCCTGGTCCCCTGGGGCCATCCGATGGGCTCCACCCCCAACGGTCTGTCTGTTTGGGCCCCTCCTCATCTCTGCTATCTGCAAGCAGGTGTCTGCCTACTGCCTGCAGATAGGGGAGGGGGTGGGGATCAGGGCACGGGCACCTAAGGCCGGTGCTCAGCCAGGGTATCAGACAGGCAGTTTTAAACGATGGGGTGGCTCTGTTGAGTACATCTGCTTACAGCCCTGGTAGCCCAGGCCCTGGGAGCTGGGGCTTAGGGCCTTGAAGTCTTTCTATAGAAACAGACCTCCTAAAATAAATGAGGCCGTGAGCATTTACACCCAGTGAAGCCAGCCACCCCTGGCTTCAGCAGTTATTGATTGCTACTGATTTTAGTGCAAGTTCCTCTTTTCACATGGAGGCAAAAACCCTCACCCTCATGACCTGAATGACGAAGTTACCACTTACTAGAATTGCCCAGGTTCTTCTCCCGGTGCCATTCTGATTTGGTCACGATCAGACGGACACAGAGTGGCAGGTGTTCCCCAGGAGGCCTCAGGGGCCAGGGGCAGGGTAAACTCAAGCGCTCAGCAGCCCTCCTCTGTCCCTCCAGCTGCTAACACGTTGGAGAAGGGCAGGAAGGGTGCAAGCTGGCTCTGTCTGCAGCTCAGGAAGTGGTCCCTAAGTTTGGCGAGCACAAGCCAGCATTCTGCCCAGAGGTGACCTCTTGTCCTTCAGATGGCTCGTGTCGTGCTATTGTGGGAAACCAGTGAGGACCCTGGGTCTGAAGCAGAGCTTGCCAATCCCAGCTGGGAACAGGTTCAGGCGAGGCTTGGCTGGTCATGAGACCACGGTCGAAGAGTGGCAGCCCATTCAGGGCATTGAGGTAGCGTGGGCAAAGTTTAAGGCCAAGGAACATCCGTGGGGACAGCTTCAGTGACCAGGTCCATGGTACAGGACTCTGGGTCTCACCCTGGCCATGGCTGCTGGGTTGCAGAGGGCCCTTCTGCACCCCCATATCCCTCTGGCCCATGTTCCCTTAGTGCCTGCCTCCGCGTCAATGTTCTCTGTGAACTACCTGCCTCCTGTTGCCTGTGGAATTCTATCTGAGATAGCTGGATAAAAAGGGACTGGGAAAAGATGAAAACCCTGTGAGGACAGTGCAAGGATGAGAGGCTCATGACCTAGGCTCCCAGAGTCTTGGCCGTGGCTTGAGTGACTGCTGTCCCGTGGCCCTGGGCAACGTGGTTCTGGGGGGCGGGGAAGGGAGAACAAAGGAAGTCTCTAGAAGCTGCTGTGGAGTTCAGGAAGCCGATGGCAGCTGCTATTGTTCTCAGTGGCCACCGAGTGCCTGCAAGCTCCCGGGCGAGGTGCCGGGCAGAGGGCGTGGCACCCACGCACACTTCCTGGCCTTGTGCAACGAGCCAGCAAGCAGACAGCACTGGGTCAAGGGACAGAAACCAACATAGTCCCAAGCCATTCAGCCCAGTTGGACCCCACAGCCACACTGAGAAGGACAGTGGACCTGGTGGGGGTCCACCAGGCTTGAATGGCCCTGTTCTGTCCTATTCTAGATGATTCTAGGCCTGTATGTGTGTACTGTAGCTGTGGGACTGATTTCTTTGGTCAAGCTCTGCACATCTTGCACTTACTTCTATGTCACAAAGGCGATTTGACGTATGCAAAAGTCGTGGGACCTTGGTATTCTGGCATGGAGTTCAGGAATGTCAGGTCACATGTAGTTCAGGTTCCAGGTGCTACATCCAGGGCCAGTCCCTCCCCAGCTGCCACAGAGGCACCTGGTCTTTCCTTTGCTTTGAAGCCAGTGGGAATTCTTTCACACACTTGTCACTTGCGCTGATGTTGGGGGGCCAGCCAAGGGGCTCATCTTGTCTGCTTCGGAACCTTACATCTCTCCTTGATCGCAGATTCTTGTTCTATGTGATCTTTTTAATTTACTCTTTTAAAAAAAGATTTATTCATTTTTATGTGAAAGGCAGCGTTAGAGAGAGAGGAGGGGAGAAAAAAAGCTTTCATCTGTTGATTCACTCCCCAAATGACCCCAACGGCCATGGTTGAAGCCAGGAGCCAGGAGCTTCTTCTGGGTCTCCCACATGGGTGCAGGGTCCTAAGGCTTTGGACCACTGTCTGCTGCTTTCCTGGGCCATTGGCTGGGAGCTGGATCAGAAGTGGAGCAGCCGGGATTCAAACCAGTGCTCATATGGATGCCAGCACCGTATGGGAAGGCTTAGCCTGACATGCCGCAGTGCTGGCCCCATGAATTTATTTTTTAGTTTTGTTTCTTTCTGATTCTCCTTCAGGGAACGCTCTGAGTCAGCTCTCCCCTCATGTTTTCATTCTCTGGGACAACACCTACACATCTGCCTCCGTCCCTGCCCATCCCCCTTACCTGCCACCTTCTCCTGGGTGGTTTCAGGATATCTAATTCTTTCCAGAGAATTCTGGAGGATTCTGGAAACAGTGTTCATGTTGCTCATCATCACTGTCCTGTAAATAACCATCTTTGTTTTCTCCCCATCTCTCTGCCACCTGTTCCCACTTGTCCATGTTCCAGAACCTTCTGGCTCACCTTGCCCCAAATGCTGGGCCTATTTTCTCTCTCTGTTGCACAAAGCAGTTCAGCACTGCTCCTGGAACCAGGGCCACCTCCACTTTCTGGGTTTGGCACTTGGTCTCATGGGTATGCGGCAGCCCAGGTCCCTTGACGCCTATTACCCCATCTGAGCTGTTGTCAACCCAGGACTGGTGTCCAGCCCCAGCTAGAGGGAACCCGATTTGAGTTGTGTGGTCCTTGAGTAGAGCTCAAGGTGATGTGGTGTTGGCAGCCACGTGTCCTGACTCTTCCTTCAGGGACATGATAGCTCAACCCTGGAGCACAGCAACCAGCCTCCTACACACATAGTTTGTCCAGACTGGCAACCAGTGGCAAGCGCGCTTCTGGATTATTCCCTCAACTCCAGCCTTCTGTACCTTGAATTCGGGGTGTCTCAGGGAGCGCCTCTGTGGTAGAAGGTGTCCCTTCAGTGAGAGAAAACGGACTGCCCAGCCAATGCCTCCAGAAACCTGCAGGGAAGTCCCCACAGCGTTCCCCAGGACTAGCTTACTGTGACCTCACCATGTAGGGTCATGGTCAACCCCGTGTCCATCTCCCACAGGGAGCTATGGCTGCCTCAAGTACCAGGGTGAGATTGGGGTTACAGCCCACCATGTCTGTATTCTCCTCGGCTAGAGGGAAAGCCGCTGGCATCCGCTATCTCTGGCACATGCACTCCAAGGTTTCATCTCGGCCCCTCACCCTGAGACAGAACATGAGGGTGCAGTCCCAGCATTAAGGAGGGAAACAGGCAGCCTTAGGGCCATGCAGAAGGCTGCCTAAAGGAACCAAACAATGGGATGACCTTGGCTTCCCAGGAAGGCTGCCAGGAGATGGCACTCCTGCTAGCCCTCAGAGCTCCCCGCCCCAGGATCCTTGCACCTTCCCAACATTCTGCCTCAGGTCACCCCAGAGGCACTTTTGTAGGTCCCACCCCTGCTCTGATCCTGTCCCAACAGTCACTCTCCATCCATCCTCCCTCATTTTTCATAGCCAACCACTTCCTGCAAAGATCTTCATTTCTTACTCTGCTGTGACAGATTCCCACACACCCAAGAAAAATTTTTTTAAAATTTTTTGTTGTTGTTTTGAAAGAGCTACAGAAACAGGGAGACGTAGAGAAAGAGATCTTCCGTCTGCTGGTTTACCTCCCAAATGGCTGCAAAAGCTGGAACTGGGCCTGTGAAAAGCCATGAACCTAGAACTCCATCCAGATCTTCCTTGTGGGTGACAAGGGTCCAAATTCTAAGGTCATCTTCTGCTACTTTTCCCAGTCCATTAGCAGGGAGCTGGATTGGAAGTGGAGCAGCCAGGACTCAAGCCTGGCACCCATAATGAGAAACTGGTATCCCTGTCAGCAATGTTACACGTTGTGCCACAGCACCACTCCCAATTTAGGACTTCAAAGCAATGCGAATGTCTTATCCTGCAGTTCGGGAGGGACAGGTGTTAAACATGGCTTTTGCCGGGCTGCCTCAAGGCGTTGGCACAGCTGTGACCCTTCTGGAGGCCCTGGGGACAATCCCTTTCTGTCCTAACCCATGTCGGGGCCACCTGCTTTCCTTGGCTTGCGTCCCATTCCAACAGCTTCAAAGTCAGCCCTTGGACAGCCCTGTCCTGCTGCTGCCTCTATGATCCGCCACCTGCCTCTTTTCCTTATGATGACACCAGCATGGTTGGGACCCACCTGAGGATGCAGGATCAAATCCCACGGTGAGGTCAGCAACCTGAATTCCCTGCTGTGAAGCAGTGCATGGCCATGGGCATCCACATCCCTGTCCTAACCTCTGTGTCCTTGGCCTCCGTGACTCACTGTAAGTCCTTCTCCACCAGGACAACGTCTTGCTTGGCTCAGGGCAGGGTCGTGGTGGATGCTTGCTAGAGGCTTGCTGACATGCAACACAAATCAGGTAGGAAAGGCTGATGTTTCTGCACTTCTAAAATGAAGGCAGCAGGTGGAAGATTCCCAACAGGGGCTAAATGCTCCTCCAATGCTATCGGGAGAGGTTCCCCAGAGGGGAGTGTTTGGGGCCAGAGTTTCAGCTGCATTTTTGGTGTTGGGTTGCTACAGGTGCCGCAGGTACTGGAACCAGGATGAAGCGGGGGCGGCTGGATGCCAGTCTCAGCCTGGAGTGCCTGGGACTGCCGCTTCCTGGAGGCCTCATGCTCCTGGGCTGAGTACTCTACTCCGCCACCCCCACTGCCACTGCTTCTCTGCTGCTGTCACTTGTGTCTCCCTCAGGGCACCTTGAGAGTGTTACAGAAAGAAAAGAAGCAGGCTGCAAAGAAGAGCATCTCAGGACTATGCAATTAAGGATAAAAATAATCCCGGCAGGCTCGGGCAGCAAGGAGCAGGAGGCTGTGGACCTCCCCGGGATGGTAGGGGAAAGCTTTGGAACCCCATGCATGAGTGCAGGGTTTGTCAGTTGATGAGCCTGTGCGTTCTAAACATCAGCTGTATATGAGCTGTGCTGAAAGATGTGTGGTGAGGGTGTTGAAGGGGAGGAGTTGAAATTGAGTTGAAATCCAGGACTTGTATACGAGAGTGAGACAGAAAGGGGAGTTGGAAACAATGAAGGAAGAACGCTGCCCCGGCTGCACGTGCAGAGGGCAACAGCCGTTGTAACGGCCCGGGTTGGGTGCTGGAGGTGAGGAGGGACTCAGAAATGCCCAGCAGCCTCCTGGCCTCCCATCCTCTCGGTCTTCCTGCATGGAGAACCCTCCGGCCCTCTCCACTGCCAGCTCCCTCCACTCCTCCCCTCTTCCCCGTGGGCAGCCACAAGGTTTTGCACCTGAAGGGCTCAGAATCTTCCCACTGAGGGATGAAAGATGCGCATGAACCCATCCTGAGCCGGAGGTGGAAATGTTAGGAAAGAAAGAGCAGAGAACATGGCTGACAGAAGCAGAGGAGTAAGGAGACCCCCAGCCTGAGTGCTGCATGTGTCCTGCTTTAGGCGTGGCTCCACCGACTGCTAGATCCACCTGCTGGCTTTTCACAGCATCTCCTGTTAGGAAGATGCCCAGCCAGGGCAAGGGAATTCAAATCGCAAACACGAAACCCAAGTTAGCTCCCCCTGACACCAAAGCAAGCGGTCCCTTCCTGGGAAGCTGCCCCCTGGACATTTCTCTCTCCTGCATGCAACTTGAGAGTCTGTAATCTCTCTCTCTCTCTCTCTCTCTCTCTCTCTCTCTCTCTCTCTCTCTCTCTGTTTCTGTAAGTCTGCCTTTCAAATAAATCTTAAAAAAAAAAAAAAAAAAAAACTCTCTCTGATAGCCTAGGGAGAAGAGTCCCAAAGATATAGCAGGGGCCATGCCAGGGTCAGCTCCTGCCAGCCATGCTGTTTTAAGAGGGCAGTGAGTCCTTTTAGAAGGTGCAGCCTGGGAACAGGCAGTGACCACAGTACCAGGGGCAGCTTTTATGGCTTGAGTCCCCAAGATGCCAGAGCTGGGTCTGGCGCCCACTCCCTCCCACTGCAGGTGGGCATTGACTTTAGGCCTCGGTCACCACGCAGTGACACTGGTACCTCCTGAGCACCCTGCTCCATCTCCAGCCTGTGACTCTGTGCTGCCTCTCTCCACGGCTGAGCTGTGGCTGTGCCACCCTGCAGCTGCTGGCCCCAAGTGGCCCTGTCAATTTGTTTTCTGTATTTGAGCCAGAGTGACAGAGAGATCTGCTATCTACCGATTCAGTCTCCAGGAGGCTCCCAGAGTCCAGGCTGGGACAAGCCAAATCAGGAGCTGGAACTCCTTCTGGGTTGCTCCCCGCGATTGGCACTTGGACCATCTTCTATTGCTTTCTCGGGCACGTTAACAGGGAGTTGGCTCAGAAGTGCAGCACCTGGCACTGCAACTGGTACCCCAATGTGCTGCTACTGTCACAGGTGGCAGCTTAATGTTCTCTACTGTGATGCTGGGCCTTGGCCTCATTTGAGGTGTGCAAGGTGGACAGTACATACCAGACAGGTTTCAAAGGCATAAGAACATGCATGAAAGGCCATTTTTTATTGCACAGTGAAGTTGTAAGATTTGGGATCTATTGGGGTAAGTAGGTATCCGGTCGTCCCTTGGTGCCTAAGGGAGATTTGTTCTAGGGGATTAGATACTGATTCTGAGGTTGCTCAGGTCCCTAATGCGAAGCAGGGCAGCATTTGCCTAGAACCTATAGACTCTGAGTCTCTCTAGATAGCCTCTGACACCTTGCACTGTGCACATACTGTGCCGTGTTGATGCTGGATTACTTAGGGAATAATGTTGAGTTTGTTCGTGTCCCATACAGACAGGGCCTGTTTCAAATAGCTTCCCCTTGAGATTAGCCGAGTCCCTGGAGGCCGACCCAGAGGCTGGGAGCCAGCCGTAGGAATCCATCAGATTCGTTGACTTAAGGCGCTTGGTTGTGGCTTGCTTTCTCTGTCTGCTGGACAGCACTCTGCAAGGCCTTGCTACTCAGGGTGTGGTCCCCCAGTAAGCCAAGGGCAGCTGCAGCAACAGCAGCTCGCGACATTCCCAGGGATCTTGGTGCACCTTAGAAGGTCTGGATGGAGCAAGGCGTGCGGGTGGTCCTGCCCACAGTGGGCGGGCTTGGGAGGGTCCAATACCTGTCATTCTGATGTAGAGTCAGGCCTCTGGAGAAATGGCCCACTCTGCGAATGGGTCATCCTGTGGACGAAGGCACTTACGTGAGAACGTCTGGGCTCCAGGTCACCTTCACTCACCTAGAAGAGCAGAGTTCCCACTATCCAACCCGTGCCCAGTTTGAATTATTTGGTGCTGCTTTAATTATTTTTAACCATGACCAAGATACAATTTTTACAATTTTTTTTTCTCTTTTACATTTCACTTCTTGTTTTTAGGTTAAAAATAATGATGGCAGGAAATGGGACAGTTTCCGACAACGCAGGGGTTAGGTGGCTGTAATTGGGAGTCTTGAGAGCCCAATAGTGGTGTCTGGGGAGAGGGCGTGGGCAGGTTGAGCAGGGCCTCCGAGATCGGAAAGGCCTCGGCTCTGCCACAGCAGGAGCCACGAGGGTTTGTGGTCATTTTCTCATCAAGGTGTAATTCAGGCATAAAACCACGCATCTTAAAAGGAACAATTCCATGACATTTAGGAAGTCCTATTTTCTTTGTATGTTTTTTTCAAGATTTATCTACTTACCTAAAAGGCAGTTACAGAAAGAGAGAGAGAAAGAGAGAGACACCGGCGTAATAACCTAGCAGCTAAAGTCCTTGCCTTGTACATGCCAGAATCCCATATGGGCACCTGTTCTAATCCTGGCAACCCCGCTTCCCATCCAGCTCCCTGAGACATCTTTATGTGTGGAATTTTAACACTCGGAGGCAAAAATTAGGTGGTGGGAGGCAGTTTGGGGTTCTTGATAAGAGTTGATAAGAGTCTTTACCTCTGCTGTTATCTTCCGCCTTGCTAGCTGTGGCCATGCTGTGTGGCATCCTGAGGTTATGACCAGACGACAAACACGTCCCTGAGTGTGGCTCAGCTGTGCCTCACTGCACACAGGCAGGCTTCAGGCTTTGGGCTTTGTCCTGCATGGTTCATGCCCCAGGTTCATCCCACCGGCCGCCTTTGGTATGCACCATGCTCCTGGTCCTTGTGATGCCAGCCATTACCCAGGATCTGTCATTTTCATCCAAGGCTGCATATGCAGGTTTGGGATTTTCACGCCCGCTGCCCTGCCCTTGAGAGAGGACCTCTTTCCATGCGTGTGTTCAGTGGCTTCCGTTGCCACTGCCACTTGCGTACTTTTTGTCATTTTCTCCTTTTGAAAAACCCTTCTGGTTCACTTAAAAAAAAAAAAGCAACCAACCTCTATACATTTTGTACATTAAGTTTTTAGTTAGTTACGTGGTGGACGCTTTCTTCCAGTCTGCCCTTCCTCTTCTTCAGGCTGTTTATGGTTGATTTGCCATGTGAATGTTAAAGGTGCTGGCGTTGGAGGCAGTGGGACACCCGTCACCCGCTCGCCCAGTCCCCTGGCCCCACTCCTGCTGAGATGGCCCTCTGAGAGCAGGTGGTGGGTCACACAGTCGAGTCCATGACACCCTCATGCCACACCCACATTGAGTCCCAGGCTCTGTTAGGTATCTGAGGGCTCTCTCTCCCTCTGTCCCTCCATTTTAAATAAATAAAATAAGTGAACTAAGTAAGTCAATACAATGGGCAGTCAAGTGTTTTGAAGAAGCTAGGTTATCTGTCACTTACCTCCATACACGTAACAGAGAAAATACTTTCTTCTAACTCAAAAATATGTTTTCATGTTTGGCTACTTACCTCTTCTTACGTTTGGTATGAGGTAGGGGACATAACTGCACCTCCAAGTGGATAACAACACCTGCCCACGAAGTTAAGTAAAGCCCCCTTTCCCTGTCACAGCACCTTCACGTCAGATGCCAACTTGCCACATGGTCCCACACTGACTCTGGACTCCCCTTTTCTGATTGATCGGCTGATGCATTCCTGCTCCTGTTGGGTGTTTTCTATCACTGCTTTCATGGTATGTTTTTCTGTGTGGCCTACACTATTCTTCCCTGCATTTTGTTTTCCAAGTAAATGCATCATCAGCTTGTCAAGTTCCCAAAAACCCTCCCCTGGAATTTTATGTCCTAGTGTTGAAATCGTGGGTGATTGGAAGAGCATCCAGGCCTTTGTAACAGCGCTTCTTTCTGTTGGAGATCACAGTATCTCTCCATGTATTCAGATTTTCTTGTTCATCTCTTTTCTACTTTCTCCAGATCTCTTGGCTCCTCACATCATGGGTTCTGCAAATTCAACCAGCCATGGATTGAGAATACCTTAGAGAAAGTGTGTGACTATACTGAATACACTGCTGCACACACAGGGACTTCTCTTTTCCTCATCATTATTTCCTGAATAAATATAGGATGGCCACATTTCCATAACATTTATGGTGCACTGGGTCACTTGCAAATACTGCACAAGGGACTTGAGTGTCCTTGCATTTTGGTACCCTTGGGAGCCCAGGAGCCAGTTTCCCACAGGTACTGAGGGACCAGTCCAGTTCTTCCAGCTGCCCTGTTACTGGGCATGATATAGTTTCAGTTGCTTTTGTGAACAGAATCTTTCCTGTGCAATGTGTTGATTAGTGGTAGATGCTGCAGCATGCTCTGATCTTTTGGAATCATCTGTTAGATTTCTTTGTTTCGGGATTCATTCCTTTGGCTTCTTTCGATCTTGTTGCATGCCACTCAGGATGGATGTGTCTTCTCGCTTCAGCCAGTGCACTGGAGGGGGAGACACACAGACACACAGAACCTGTGTGCTGGCTGTTGGTTCTGTGCTGGCCGGGCCCCCACCACACAAGAAAATATGTCCATAGCCAGGTGCTCTCTGATGCCTTGCTCTTACCTCCAAGGATGTGCGTTCCAGAAGGAGTGAGACAGGTGGGACAGGGAAGGGCATCTACCCCGGGTGCCCACATAGGACCAGCACTGGGGCAGGAAGCAGACAGGCATAGCTGAGTGCAGGTGCCAGGGTCTGTGAGCTGGCTCACCACTGGAGGGACTTCTCTTTGAGGTGTGATGCTGTGGATAGTGGTCTGGGCTGCATCTCTTGAAAGCTGTGACTATCTCCAGAGTGTTGCTTAACCAGAATGGCAATGTGCCTTCTGATCCACTCCTGGATTTCAACTCTACTTGAGAGGCACACAGCTATAGCAGGAACCAAGCAGGTTTACTGAGGTGCCTTGGGCTTAAGCCCCTCCAATCAATCCTTCACCCATTCCAGACCTTCGTCTTATGCTGCACTCTGTCTGGTATCGTCCTTCCTGAAGGGAGAGCTTAGAATCCACAGCTTCCGTGCGTACAGCCTATCAGATGCTAGGAGTCGAAGCAGCCACACCGTGCTCTGGTCTCACAATCCATTTGCCCTCAACTCCAATGACACAGTCATCTCTTGCGTGTGCTCCTGCTAAGCTGGCCTCAGGACTTTGAATAGGCCTCCCTAAACCTCGCCTGGCTGAACTCTGCCTGTAACTCCAGGCTGCTGGGGTCTGCCTCATGCTGGTTCTGGCAGTTGCTCAACACACCTCTTATATGTGGAATTAACTTCATGCTCTGTTTGCTCCACATGT